TTGGTGGGGTTCGTAAGTGTTGTTTTAGTGTTGATGACAGTGTTGTGGTAGTGTTGGGTGCAGTGTTGATGACGTGTTGTTGGTAGTGTTGATGGCAGTGTTGTGGTAGTGTTGATGACAGTGTTGATGGGCAGTGTTGCTGGTAGTGTTGTGACAGTGTTGATGAAAGTGTTGTGGTTGTTGATGCAGTGTTGTTGGTAGTGTTGATGACAGTGTTGTGAAGTGTTGCTGGTAGTGTTTGATGACATGTTGCTGGAGGTTTTTTTTGATGACAGTGTTGATGACAGTGTTGTGGTAGTGTTGCTGGTAGTGTTGTGGCGTGTTGTGAAAGTGTTGCTGGTAGTGTTGATGGGGGCCAGTGTTGTGGAAATGTTGATGACAGTGTTGTGGAGTTTGTGCAGTGTTTATGACAGTGTTGTGGCAGTGTGTGAAGTGTTGGGTGGTAGCGTGTTGATGACAGTGTTGGTGGTAGTGTTGATGACAGTGTTGTTGGTAGTGTTGATGGAGTGTTGCTGGTAGTGTTGATGACAGTGTTGCTGGTAGTGTTGATGACAGTGTTGCTGGTAGTGTTGATGACAGTGTTGCTGGTAGTGTTGATGACAGTGTTGCTGGTAGTGTTGATGACAGTGTTGTGGAAGTGTTTTTGGAGTGTTGATGACAGTGTTGTGACAGTGTTGCTTGGTAGTGTTGATGACAGTGTTGTGGTAGTGTTTGACTTTTGAGACAGTGTTGTGGTGGGTGTTGATGACAGTTTTGCTGTAGTGTGATGCAGTGTTGATGGTTGCTGGTGTGTTGATGGACAGTGTTGCTGGATGTGTTGTGGAGTGTTGTTTAAACGTGTTGCGGGGTATGTTTTTGTGGTAGTGTTGATGACAGTGTTGTGGAGTTTGCGGGTAGGTTGATGGTGTTGCTGATAGTGTTGCTGGTAGGGGTTGATTGGGGTGGGGGTGTTGTGACGTGTTTGAGGGCTAGTGTTGTGAAGTGTTGCTGGTGTGTTGCTGGTAGTGTTGCTGACAGTGTTGCTGGTTGTGTTGATGGGTTGCTGGAGTGTTGATGACAGTGTTCTGGTAGTGTTGCGGTTTTATGTAGTGTTGATGTGTGTTACTGGTGTTTGTTGACAGTGTTATTGGTTATTGTTGATGACAGTGTTACTGGTGTTATGGTGTTTGTTGTGTTGATGACAGTGTTACTGGTAGTGTTGATGACAGTGTTACTGGTAGTGTTGATGACAGTGTTGCTGGTAGTGTTGCTGGTAGTGTTGCTGGTAGTGTTGCTGGTAGTGTTGCTGGTAGTGTTGCTGGTAGTGTTGCTGGTATGTGTGTGGTAGTGTTGATGACGGGTTTTGCTGGTAGTGTTGCTGGAAAGTGTTGATGACAGTGTTGCTGGTAGTGTTGTGTGTGTTGCGGTAGTGTTGCTTGTAGTGTTGCTGGTAGTGTTGCTGGTAGTGTTGCTGGTAGTGTTGCTGGTAGTGTTGCTGGTAGTGTTGCATCTCTGGCAAAACTACCTGATGCTAAAATTGTCTGTTATTCCACAGTACTATAACAAGAAATAATAATTAATAAAAATAATACGAGGTACACCCATACCGGGTATTGAACCAAGGACACCAGTGTGTGAGGCGACAGCGTTGTCTACCTAGTCAGCCAAGACACGGTGCTGAGATTTACCAAATATTTAATAATAATAATAATAATTAATTTCGGCCTGATACAATGTACAAAACTAAATTCACAAAGTCCAGTAATATACACAATAAACTTAATATTAATAATAAGTCAAGTACAAGGTGGTTATTTTAATTATTAAAGATTAGCCGGTATTCTCCCGGCCCGGGCCTTTTCCAAGTGGTGGCCCGGCCATGGCTCCCTTTCTTGGGAGTATCTCAGACTAGTGTCTGCCATGGGAGGAGGTACAAGTACCTCCTCATCGTCGGGACCAACAGTCCCCAGGCCTAGCCACATTCCCTGCCCTCACGGGGCTCGTAGGGAGAGGCTAGGCCTCTCTCGTCTGCCATCTTTCCCACCCCAGGAGGGCTAATGGGAATGGCAGGCTTCTCAGCTGTGGGTAATACCAAGCTCAGGCTAGGGCACCTACCCTGTCCTAGAAGGGCTGGGCATAAATAATAACTCATTATTATTATTATTAAAGATTAGCCGGTATTCTCCCGGCCCGGGCCTTTTCCGAGTGGTGGCCCGGCCTTGGCTCCCTCTTTAGGGAGTGTCTGAGACCTAAGTCTCCCATGGGAGGAGGCACAAGTACCTTTTCATCTTTGGGACCAACTGTCCCCAGGCCTAGCCACAAGCTAGGCCTCTCTGGTCTGCCATTCCCGCCACAAGGGGGCAAATGGGAATGACAGTCTTATGAGCTAAAGGCTCGAGCTCAGGCACCTACCCTACCCTAGAAGGGTGGTGACCGAACTGCAACAAAATTAAAAGCCACCTCACACCTCCAAGGTTTTGGAGTCCTGGGTGAGGGCGGTGTTGACCTGGGTAAGGGCGGTGTTGACCTGGGTGAGGGCGCTGTAGAGCTGGTTCAGATCGGTGTTGGCCTGCGTGAGGGCGGTGGTGACTTGAGTGAGGGCGGTGTTGACCTTGGTGTGGTCGGTGGTGACCTAGGTGAGGTCGGTGGCGACCAGGATGAGGAGGTCGGTGGCCTCTCTGAGGCCGGTGGTGACCTGGGTGATTTCTGTGGCGACCTGGGTGACTTCTGTGGCGACCTGGGTGAGGTCGGTGGCCTGTCTGAGGTCGGTGGCGACCTGGGTGAGGTCGGTGGCCTGTCTGAGGTCGGTGGTGACCTGGGTGAGGTCGGTGGTGACCTGGGTGAGGTCGGTGGCCTGTCTGAGGTCGGTGGCGACCTGGGTGATTTCTGTGGCGACCTGGGTGAGGTCGGTGGCCTGTCTGAGGTCGGTGGCGACCTGGGTGAAGTCGGTGGCCTGTCTGAGGTCGGTTGTGACCTGGGTGAGGTCGGTGGCCTGTCTGAGGTCGGTGGCGACCTGGGTGAGGTCGGTGGCCTGTCTGAGGTCGGTGGCGACCTGGGTGAGGTCGGTGGCCTGTCTGAGGTCGGTGGTGACCTGGGTGAGGTCGGTGGCCTGTCTGAGGTCGGTGGTGACCTGGGTGAGGTCGGTGGCCTGTCTGAGGTCGGTGGTGACCTGGGTGATTTCTGTGGCGACCTGGGTGAGGTCGGTGGCCTGTCTGAGGTCGGTGGCGACCTGGGTGAGGTCGGTGGCCTGTCTGAGGTCGGTGGCGACCTGGGTGAGGTCGGTGGCCTCTCTGAGGTCGGTGGCGACCTGGGTGATTTCTGTGGGCGATGGGTGAGGTTTGGTGGCCTGTCTGAGGTCGGTGGCGACCTGGGTGAGGTCGGTGGCCTGTCTGAGGTCGGTGGCGACCTGGGTGAGGTCGGTGGCCTCTCTGAGGTCGGTGGCGACCTGGGTGATTTCTGTGGCGACCTGGGTGAGGTCGGTGGCCTGTCTGAGGTCGGTGGCGACCTGGGTGAGGTCGGTGGCCTGTCTGAGGTCGGTGGCGACCTGGGTGAGGTCGGTGGCCTGTCTGAGGTCGGTGGCGACCTGGGTGAGGTCGGTGGCGACCTGGGTGATTTCTGTGGCGACCTGGGTGAGGTCGGTGGCCTGTCTGAGGTCGGTGGCGACCTGGGTGAGGTCGGTGGCCTGACTGAGGTCGGTGGCGACCTGGATGAGGTCGGTGGGTTCTCTGAGGTCGGTGTCCACCTGGGTGGGCTCGGTGGCCTGTCTGAGGTCGGTGGGCTCTCTGAGGTCGGTGTCGACCTGTGAGTGAGGGTCGGTTGCGACCTGGATGGGATGTTTGGTGACCTAGGTGAGCAGATTGGTGGTGACCAGGGTAAGAAGTTCTGTGGCGACCTTCATGGGAAGATCGTTGGCGAACTGGGTGGGACCCTGGGTTAAAAGGTCGCAAGCGACCTTGGTGCGAACGTCTGTTGCGAACTGGGTTAGAAGGTCGGTGGCGACCTGGGTGAGGTCGGTGTCGACCTGGGTGAGGTCGGTGGGCTGTCTGAGGTCAGTGTTGACCTGTGAGTGAGGGTCGGTTGCGACCTGGATGGGATGTTTGGTGACCTAGGTGAGCAGATTGGTGGTGACCAGGGTAAGAAGTTCTGTGGCGACCTTCATGGGAAGATCGTTGGCGAACTGGGTGGGACCCTGGGTTAAAAGGTCGCAAGCAACCTTGGTGCGAACGTCTGTTGCGACCTGGGTTAGAAGGTCGGTGGCGACCTGGGTGGGAAGGTCAGTGGTGACCTGAGTGATAAGGTCGGTGGCGACCCGGGTGAGAAGGTCAGTGGTGACCTGGGTGGGAAGATCAGCAGTGACCTGGGTGGGAAGATCAGCAGTGACCTGGGTGGGAAGATCAGCAGTGACCTGGGTGGGAAGTTCAGCGGTGACCTGGGTGGAAAGATCAGCAGTGACCTGAGTTGGAAGATCAGCAGTGACCTGGGTGGGAAGATCAGCGGTGACCTGGGTTGTGGGTTCGGTCTTCACCAAGGCCTATGTAGCTGTTGTTTCAGTAACATTCTTGGCATTTATGGTGGTGGTATCGGCTAAGATTTCATTTTTAATGCATACAGGTTCTGGAACCCCCGACGTCATCTCTCTATATTCTCGGACCTTCCCAAGCATTTCTTCTTGTGGATTCTGGAACCCCAGAGGTTGTCTCTTATGGTATGGGAACCACTGAGTTACTTTGAGCTTGAGTGGAGTGAGATCCCATCCTTGTAGTTATAACAATCCAACTCTACTCCACAGTCTTCTAAAACGTTGGAAGCTCTCGGGCCATGGTATCTTAACATTTTTGCACCATTCAGTAAGATTTTGTGAGAATATCAACACTAAACATACACCTAGGAAGAAAACTAGCAATAGGAAGATGGCCAGCCCCACCGTTACTATCACTATCAATGAGTTGGACTCGAGTAGTGATTCCAAGTACCATAGGCGTTCGAGGGCCCTCATACAGTGTCCGAAGGGAGTGAGTGGCTGGGGAAGATTTAGGTACCATGCTTCAGGCAGCTCCACCTCCATCTCGTAGAAACCGGGGGAGAACCACTGTAGCACGACAGTCAAGAAACCAAAAATACTGAATCTGTCGTCCTGCTCATTCTTCGGGAGGAGCATTTTAATTTCCTATACACTGGGTTCCAGAACTAACAGAAAACCTTATAAACTTGCCCAGATGTAAACACCTAGACAGACTATTTAACATAAGGTAATCAGTGACAATTTTTTGGCGAATTCAAAAATAATTTAAACAACCCATTGAATGACGGGAACCCTAAGTAGGCCTTCGTCCCTGACCTTCTCCCGGTCTCCTACAACCTCTAATTAGCAAACATAATTGTGGTCTCCTACCACCTATTCTTAGTCGAGGTATTATCGCTGCAACTTCTCAGCGTGCATGCGATAATTACGAGCGTACCTCTCTCTTGTATCCATGATACGTTTTTCCTGGTTGATGTCTGGCTTTTCTCCACGGAAGTGCGTTATATCTTGATTACTCATCGTGAAGGAATTGATATTTATAGGTCTATACCTCACGAAGTAAACTTTGTGAGTTAGATATTAATATAGTATTCTAGGAATACATGTTTGCTGCCTTCAGGCATACAATTAACTTGGAACGTATATCCACTGCCTTCAGGCATACAATTAACTTGGAACGTATATCCACTGCCTTCAGGCATACAGTTAACTTGGAACGTATATCCACTGCCTTCAGGCATACAGTTAACTTGGAACGTATATCCACTGCCTTCAGGCATTCAGTTAACTTGGAGTATATACACCTGCTTCAGGCATACAGTTAACTTGGAACGTATGTCCACAGCCTTCAGTCATACAGTTAACTTGGAACGTATGTCCACAGCCTTCAGTCATACAGTTAACTTGGAACGTATGTCCACAGCCTTCAGTCGTACAGTTAACTTGGAACGTATGTCCACAGCCTTCAGCATACGTTAAATTGGCGTATGTCCAAGCCTTCAGTCATACGTTAACTTGGAACGTATGTCCCCGCCTTTAGTCTAAGTTAACTTGGAAAGTATGTCCAAGCCTTCAGTTACAGTTAATTGGAACG